ATTAAAGTCAGTTTGTGGATCTGAAAAATGTTAAGTGTGACAGCAACAACAAAAAAAGCAAAAGCAGAAGAAACCTGTAAAGTGACAAGTACTTTTTCCAAGGCACCACATGTGGGTTATTGCTTGTTTCTCACCTTAGCTGATGTCTCAAACCAGCCCAGAAAGCCTGTCTCTTTGCAGAAATTGTCCATTAGTGTTGAATTGTTGACGCTGTCTTTCTTCTGGTCACATTTATTGGCGAGGAGCACTGCGGGGATGGGGTTGCCATTAGCCAGCTTCACTTTGCTGTCCAGGTCGTGCTTCCATTTAGACACGGCTTCAAACGTGGCGCCCCTCGTCACGTCAAACACAACAAATGCCCCGACGGCTTCCTTGTAGTACACCCGCGTCATGTTTCCGAATCGCTCCTGCCCTGGAGGGATGGAAAGAAAGAGTGAAATATTTATCTGTGGCTACAATCTTGGAAGAGTGCCATAGGTTTAGAAAAATACGAGATTTTAAACATTGCTGTTAACAGAGCTGTTATAGGACTTCCTCTCCCTTTAAATTCAAAGAACCACCACTTCCAACTCAACATTTATATTCATGCTGCATTGGCGTGAAAATGGCTGCAAACAGTTGCAAAACTGTGCAATGGTGTTTTTTTTTTTTTTTTTTTTTTTTTGTAATAAGGCAGTGCCTGTTAATTGTTATTTAATAATTGGGAGGTTTTTGAAATGGCTCATTTTCCAGACATCAAGAGACATGAACATATCCCCAAAGAAATGGCAGAAGGTTTTTTTATAACTCTTGGACAGTTTCTAGAAGCAGCACAGAGGTGATTAGATTGAGTCCATGCATACAGGGGTCTCCAAAGATTTGTGGCATGTGACAGATTTAGTACATAACTTTTTGCTCTATTGCTCCCATTAAAGAACAAAGACTCTACAGTTAGCGTATTGAGGAAAAGACAGCCGGTATATCTTTGTCACAAAAATAGGAAATGGGTTTAGAAAGCAATTGAGGAAGTGCAAGCAAAGCTCCTCCTAGCACACTTTCACTTTGCAACATAGGTGCCTTCCCAAGCTCGCAGAAAACCGGAGAGGTGTGTTGCAGTGCAGGTTTGCGAGAGAGAGCGAATCCACTGTGGGGCCCACAGGCCTGGCGGTAATTGCTCATAATTGAGAGTCTAATTTTAGCTGATATAACCCCAGGTGAATTCACCAGAGACACGACACAGTGGGATAAAGAGCCGATGGACTGAAAAAAAGGCTTTTATTTCCAGGCCTTGTACAGACCGTGCGTCCAGAACTGAGCGGGCCAGGGCTGAATAAAGACAAAAATAAAGGGCCTCGTCATTCTCTGTGAACCTCTGCTCTTGTTAATGGGCTTGCTGAGTAAAATACAACAATTATGCCAGAATAGGTTGACATTTTCGCACAGCATCATCACTGTTGGTTGGTGGGCCGGGGGAGGAGAACCCTGAGGAACATCACAATTCAGCACACTAACTTTAGGCAGCAGGCATAGCAAGTACAACAAGGATATACAGCCACATTCAAAAGTTTCAAATCTTATTAACATTTTGCCACCTTAACACCACAAGTGGTGAATGCATTTATATGAGTCTCCCTCTATTCCATCTTTGAGGATGGGATTCGACCAGAGCCATTTTTTTTTTTTTTTTTTTGCTAAGTGAGGTGAGATTGGAAGTGTCTTTCATAGGCAATTTTCAAGCCTTACCACAGATTATTTGGCTTCATTAACCTTCTCATCTTCTCTGAAAAGCTTCACCGTGGTTCCAGAAAACATCCCCATGCCACAATACAGCCACCACCATGTTTGACAGGGGACAAGGTATATGTTTTTCACATTTGACATCAAAAAAGTTACATTTTAGTCTCATCCTTGTTTCACGTGTTTGCTGTGTCTCCTCCATGACATGTAGTAAACCCTAAACAGACTTTCTTTCAGCAATGTCTTTCTTTCAAGTACTCTTCCAGGATGTGGAATGCAAACTGATAGTTAGTAGCTCCTCCAGCATTATCACGGGGCTCTAGATAGAAGAGCCAGTGATCCTTTCAAGTGTATATAAAAAAGGATACTCTTCCTCTTGACATGTAAGTCGACTAAGTGATTATTAAGTGAAAATGTCAAATTTACTTTAAGGCTTCTCTTTTTAGTTTACTATTAAGACAGATCCCTTTGTTTGAAAAGTAGAACTGGAATATTTTTTTGGGAAATTTTGCTGTCAATTGACCTTTTGTTCAGGACTTCCCCTTTTGTGTACCCTCCAGGCTTCATATAATTAATAAAGAAGTTTACTTTGATTCATTTTGATTCATAACATTTCTGCTGATAACTGTATAGGGCCAATATTTTCTTTTTGTTATCAAATGGTTGCCGAGATACTGTTTAGCCGCCCATGCTCACATTTTTCTGCTTATATTAAACAACCTTGTTGATATATAATGTAAAACTCTAAATTTAGCACACGTTTCGACGATGTCGTAATTTCCACAACAAACTATCAAGCAGAAAGAAAAAAGATCTGATCAGCAAAAATCCTTCTAATGGTGCTCATACTTTTCTGCTTTATTTAATTTGTCATCTTTCAACATATTCAAGCAAAGGAAGTGAATATCGCAACAAGATTTGTCTTGTTACGTAAGGAGAAAACAAAATTACACCGCAAACATTAATGAGTGTCATATGCCGCTAACCTAATCAGCAAAAAACATGGGAATGGACTGTACTACAATAACAATAGAGTATTTACTCAGCGGATGCCACAGAGGAGCATGAGATGCGTGCTGCTGCGTAACAACGCACAACATGAAGCGACTGCCAGCAAACTAAAGAAAAAACAGCTAAAGCTGTACATTAAGATGCAGAAATTTAGAAGGAAATCAGCAAGTTTCATAAGATGAACTTTTTTTTTTTTTTTAGCTCAGTTTCCCAAAGTTACAAGAACTGGTGCATGACCTCAAGTAACAATTAGACACCCTGGTTAGATGCATATCAGTCAGACCTCCTGCACAACTACTTTATGAAACGGCTAAGTTACAGCCACTGGTTAATCTGTGTTTGCTGCGTGGGAGAAACAGAAAGAAAGCAAAGTCTCATCATTATCCACAGACCCAGCAGCCCCTGCTTCCTCTATGGTCATACACACTCTTGTGGGTGGGTTACTATAGAAACTGTCCAAGCCAGACGCTGCAGCGGCAACAGCAGCAGCAGCCTCCATCTGTTAGGGAGCCAACCGCCTGTGACCCTCCTCGTACCCTCCACCCCCATCCCAACAGCACTAAAATAAGAAAAGCAACACAGTGGCTCTGTCTTTAAGGTAGTCTTCAGCAGGGATTCCATAGCGAGACTGTGAAGAACACATGACCGACACGTTAAAATTCCTCTGAGCAGCATGTGAGGAAAAGCTGCAGCTTACTTAAGCGCTTAGCAAAGACTGAGGGAAAAATTCCATAACTTCAAGTGCAGCGTTTCATCTTTTACGTTCAACTGAATGCATTACATTCGAGAAAGTGCAACTGATGTCTTCAGAGTAAGAATTAGGTGTCAGAGCTGCAACAAATCTGATCCACAATAATCAGGAAAAACTACAAAAAGGAGCACCAATCTGTAATGGGCATCCTAATCTTTCAGTGTGCAAATATTTCAACAATGTGGCAATATGGACTTAGAGGGGATTGATGAAAAATTAACAGTTGTGCCATTATTCCATTCAGTTTGCAAACTGTGTATCAGTAAAGTTATGTGTAGTGAATGTATAGGAACATGGAGCAACACAGACCATTTGTATAGTTGCTAAGTATGAATCATTAATCAGAAAAAATGCAAATATCAGAGTAGGTTACTTTAAAGTGTCACAAAGTTTAAGTGTGAGACAACGTTTAAAGAAAATCCTGATTGAAATTTACAGTTTAGCAAAAACAAAGAGCTTCATCATAGTGAAAGTACCTATTTTTGTGGCACTGGTTTTCATATACACGTTTGTATGTTCGATCCACCGAATCCAGTCTAATGGTTTAGTGTTCAGAAAAAAAGCAGACAATCTTAATCAAGTGTTATTCAAACTGAAGACTGTGGGGAAGTAGGAACACAGTGTTGTCACATAGCCTCTTAGAGCATTAGTCAATCAGCCCACTTTCCAA